CAAATTGACCACTTGTGGTAGTCATTAGTCTATCACCTTCAAACTATGTGAATGAAATTTAAATCCGTAAGCAGCCCAAAATATGTTTGCAGTGAATACACTTTTCATTATAGCGTATTTACCATTTAGGATGGGGGCTCAGACAGAGTTAAGATGAGAGGAGTAGATAAGTGAAATAATTGGAGAGAGTTTCAAGGAAAGCCAGATGACATAGAAAGAACACACAATCTTTAAGAAACTGTTACGTTCAAAAGGGATAGGCAGAGTGCAAGTATAAGGACAAGAATATATCCTATTAACAGTAATAGGGGCCCACTTTCCCTTGACACTATTGATCTTAGGTAGAATGACAGAAGAAAATAACATAAAGAAAAATGAAAAAAACAAAAAAAGAAGAAATCTGAGTTAGGGGATGAACAGGAACAGAAAGCAAGATGAGGGATAATATAGTGGAGCAAGAGACTGAGTTGGAGAAAGAGGACAGAAAATAGAAAGAATTTGCAGGGTGGAATGAGGAAAAGAAAGACAAAAAAGAATTTGAAGGGCCTCTTTCAGACTATATCTCTGCTGTCATCATATACATGTGCAGCCATGTGCAGAACCAAGTCCCCTGATCTCAGCTAGCTGATGGCAGAAACCTGCGATGCAGACTGACCTTGGACTGCAAGGCCTAGATTGAGTTCCCAGAAATCCTTATGGGTTGAACTCCACACAGTTCTACCCCTTTTCCCTCACCCTTTCTTTAAAGATGTTCAAAGTTTGGAGCTCAGAAAAATACCCTTTATGACGACCTATGCCTCTGCAGAGGGGGTCCAAAAACTGGTATAATCAGGAGGTCTGAGGGTGGGGGTAAGGTGAGGGGTGGTGTTCACGGGCACCCACGTGGCTACCTTCCTGGCACTGGAGATATGGCAGCACTGACAGGGGAGGACGTGGCTACCTGGTCTGTGGATTGGGCCCAAACAGGCCTTCCTGGCACTGAAGTGATGGCCCTGCCAGAAGAGGAGTGCCTATCTTCCTGGCACTGGAGCAATGGCTGTGCCAGCAGGCTGTCTTTGATAATTTTGAAGAACATTGATCTGTTATTTTGTAGAATGTCCTTCCGTTTGAGTTGGCTCCTATTTTTTATTGTTGGAATGAAATTTAACCTTTGTCACATTTTTTACAGAACTTTATTATTTCTACGTGCTTCACAGCCAGGAATTGAGATGACAAGAAGGCATTTTAATGACCATTTAAATTGTGATCATTTGGTTAAGGTCTCAGTTTTCCACACTGTGAAGTTACTATCCTGTTTTATAGTTGCCAAATACTTTGGAGAAAGTTTGAAGAAATGTAATAATTTTCCTCAAATTTTTGTTCACATATTTTAGCTTTTATCTGCAGTAATTTTTAATGTGCTATTTGCCTCATTGTTGCTTTCTATTTTCCTTTTCTCATCTAACTAATTAATAACATTTTGCCATAAGAAATATCCTTTGTCCATCAGTTCTTTAACTATTCAATGCAAGTCCATACAGGAATATTTATTTTTTAATATATGCTAAAATTTAGTATTATCATTATGCATTTTGCTTACAAAATTTGGTCTCACATAAGGCATTGACAACTCATTAAAGTTGATATATTATTTTTCTAACTATTGTTTTGAGAAACTCTTTAATTTGTTTACTTTCTCTATAAGACATCCTAGAATCATTTTGTATTTTCTCTATTCAGCGCTGAATGCAACCACTTCTCTATGAAATTATATAAGGAATTATATGGAAATAAAGCTTACTGAATTGAAAAAGTGTTGAAAAGATAACTGGCAAAATAAAAGAAAGGTGAATTGAAGTGGGAAAACATAATTGAGATGTATTGTAGAAATGTACCTGTTCCCAATGATGAATATAGTCATTATGTAGTGTAAAGATGTGCTAATAAATTAAAAATTTAAAAAGAAAGAAATAACTGTCTAATATTGTGGCATACAGTGCAAGCAAAAATTGCATAGAGAGCTGACTTATTTTTTCTCAGATTATTTTTTAATGTCCCACCAAAACATCTGACAAGTCCTTATATCACCACCAACATACCTTAGCTACCTGGAAAAGTTGTAAGTTTGCAGCGTTTCTCTCTCTCTCTCTCTCTCATTTGTGTGTGTGATTGTTCATGAAGTATATGGAATACACAAGTTCATATACTTTTCTTACTTATCTTACTTATCTGCGGTTTGTTGGAGCTTTTCCCTTGCTCGTGACCCAGGGACCATTTCCCAATTGGTCCTAAGCCATTATATTCTTCAGTTCATCCTCAAAATCATCTAATTTGGAATCAGGATTGAGGGAGAAGAAGGTTGGTGTTTGCTGTATTTATAGAGATGCACAATTTCTTTATCGTGTATCCACTTTTCACTATTGCTCACATAACGGCACTCACATTCTTCTTATTGAGTTATGTAAATACAGATAAAATAATTTCCTAATATACACATGCTGTTTTACACTCATTTTTGATCCCTCTTTTATTTGTGTATTCAGTAAATCAGGAAATCATTTATAAGCTTTTTGATTTGTCAAAAAGAACTATTCAAACTATGGAAATTTCCAGATGTTAATGGTTAGTGAATGGAATATCTTGTTTAATTACTTTGTAAGTTAGAATTTTGTCTTCATTAATATTTAGGAAATCCAAGTGGAAGATCAAATTGATCTCTTCAAATTATCTGAGAACTCTAGTGATTTTCAAGTAGAAAGAAAATCACTACTGATTGGTTGAATTTCCAAAATTTATTCAACTAAATTCTAGAAATGTTATAGTTTAACAAACTATTTTGTCATAGTGCAAGTAATGATAATATTTCTCTGCATATAACTTCTTTTGTAAAATTTGCTATTTGTGCATAATTTTTCTAATACTCTTTCTAAAATATGTAGGCCAGTATATTCAGACATAGACATCCATAATTTTAATTAGAAGTGAAATTTGTATCATGAGTTCAGTAATTTAGATGAATCAGTATAACAGAATTTAAATACATTAAAGATAAATACTATAACTACTTAGTATGTTAGAGTTTTAAAAATATTAATATATTTGATTCTTACAACCAACTTGTGAAGTTTTTTAAAGATTATTTCCTAGTAAAATAGAAACTACTTGTGATATTGAAAACTTTGAAATTTTATAAGGATAATTTTAGTAGGTTATAAATAACTTGGCAAGAACTGTCCATTCTCTATATTTAATATTAACCTTGACAAAGATGAAATGTGTATTACTATTAACTTACTACTTATTGTAATATGAGAATATACCAACATACATAATGAAACAATATTTATTATGAAAAAAATCTTCATAATTTTTGAGTCTCAAGAAGCATTATGTTATTACTACATCTTCCTATCTCATCATCAAAAGTATTAAAAAGAAAACTGAAACACTTAGAGTTTGTTATTTGAATGAGAATTCAAGAGCATTAAATATAATAGTGTTAGTTATTTAAAGAAAAGTAAAAATATATTTTGCATTAAAATGTTTACCTGTGGGTATTTAGCTCAGTGGTTCTGCCTTACAAACACAAGGTTCTGAGTTTGACCCCTGGTACTGAAAAAAAATTACCTAAGCTATATAATTTCTTACCTTTATAAAGATATAAGAAGGGTATAAGAAAGAAAGCACTTCTGTATTGTATGCCTGTAAGAAGAGCACTTAGGAGGCCAAAGGAGGAAAATCAAGACTTCAAGGCCAGCTGGACTCCATAATGAGAGCCTGTCTCAAAAAATGTAGAAAGAAATAGGAGTCTATTCTGGTTTCTTAATTCTAATTTTCTTAGTCCGTATTCAGGAGGCATAATGATTACATCCATTGTGGGGTGTTGGTATAAGTACATAACACACCTTAACTTTAATAACTCCTTGCTCTCCCTGTCTTTGTCCTTTTCCTTTTTGCAGATCTACTTCCCAGTTTCCTCGTAGTACCTTTTGTTTTTCTCTGATGTATTTATATTTTGGGTTTCTCATATAAGAGAAATCAAGAGATATTTACATTTGTTTGTCTGATTTACTTCACAAAAGTTATGTATCTACAAGCTTACTCTGGTGGGTAATTTATTTATTTTGAAGTTGAAAACTAAAATATATACATTTGACATAGCTAAAAACTAATTTGACTTTATGACTTGGTGTTATATTTTGATCCACATTTATAAAGACACAAAACCTATTATTGAGTTTGTAGAGAAAACTGTATGGAGAGCTAAATTTGAATTGACTTGAAGAAAGCATAATATTTTGGTGGGCAGTCCACGTGTACAAGAAGACACCAAAATGAGTGAGATTATTTTGATTTAATATTTGACTAAGAACTAAGAAACATATACCTACTTTCAATGCTCAATGCTCAGGTGTTTTATTGTTATTGTCATAAATCAGGAGCAACAGTTAAAATGAATACTGAATACTTTGTTAAGATTTAAAGAAAACTCTATGAAGCTTTTTGAGTTTCAGTAGATTAACAAAGTAGTCATTATTTAAAATTCCCAATGAAAATAAGGAAAAAAAGCAAAATACAGAAGAAAATGGGCAAGTTCAATCTTGTTATTATAAGTCATATCTAGGGTTATATTTACTTGGTTGATTAATACATTCAATGTTAGACAGCAAACTTTGCTCCAGATTTATCTACACACATGTAGTAGCAGCCAATAACTTAGAGAAAAATCAGAAAAAAATGAGTAAGAAAACTGAAAAACACACTGGTACAATTTAGGAGAAGTGATTAAAGCTGTCTCTAAAAAGCAGGGCTTTATTTCTTAATTTATGAAGCGTAATTGTTCAGGGTGATTGGTATTTCTTTTTGTTCATTTGTAATGCATTTCAAAGTAGAGTGAACAAAAGCATCATTTTTAATCATTTGCTGGCCATGGTTTTAAATTTCAATAAATAATTGGAACCTTCAATTTTAGTAAATCTTTATCATTGTTGTTATTTTCTACCTTCACTTGTCTGAAGTTAATGATGGAAAACCAAACATCAGTGACAGAGTTCATCCTTCTTGGATTAACAAATGATGTCAAGCTCCAAGCTGTGCTTTTCCTTTTCCTGCTGCTCACTTACACCTTAAGTATTATAGGAAACGTGACCATCATTGTTCTGACTCTGCTGGATCATCGCCTCCAGACGCCTATGTATTTCTTTCTTCGAAATTTTGCTTTTGTGGAGATATCTTTCACGTCTGTATTTGTTCCCAAGATGCTCCTTAATATTGGAACTGGAGACAGAACTATCTCTTTTGCCAACTGCTTCACTCAATACTTTTTTGCAATCTTGCTGGGAGCAACTGAATTTTACCTTTTAGCTGCCATGGCTTATGATCGTTACGTTGCTATTTGCAGACCTCTGCATTACACAACTATAATGAGTAGGAGACTGTGCATTCAGCTCGTCCTGTGTTCCTGGTTCTCTGGCTTTATAGTTGTCATGGTGCCATATACCATGAATCTCAGGCTGCCTTTCTGTGCATCCAACATCCTCAATCATTATTGCTGTGACTATACTATATTGTTGCATTTATCCTGTTCAGATACACATTTCATAGAAATGATTCAGTGTGTCCTTGCGGCAGTGACCCTTCTCTTTACCCTGCTCCTGGTGTTTCTTTCCTACACCTACATTATCAGGACCATTTTGAGAATCCCATCAGTTCAAGAGAGAAAAAAAGCTTTTTCTACATGTTCCTCTCATATGATTGTGGTCTCGCTTTCTTATGGAAGCTGTATCTTTATGTATGTAAATCCTTCTGCAAAGGATGCAGCAACTTTTAATAAAAGAGTGGCTCTTTTAAATACCTCAGTTGCTCCTCTGTTGAACCCATTCATCTATACTCTAAGGAACAAGCAAGTGAAAGGAGCCTTTAAAGATATAATACATAAGATAATTTTTTCAAAAACGTGAAACTACTTGAGATTCATTATTAAAATAATAATATATAGAAGAGTACAGTGAAACATTGTTGTAATTTAAATGTATATTCTACATCACCCAATTAATATTCCTACTTGTGTCCTGACACAGTAAAATGAATATGTAATTAAGGCATTTTTTTCTGTTCTCAAATAATCCTAATCTGTGTGAGTGCTCCTAACATTTCATTTCATTTCTATTTTCTTTGTTCAGACAATTAAAAAAATACATGAGGTAAAATTAGAATTGATAATATGAATGTTAATAATTTGTTTTTAAAACTGAATTTAGGAAAATTGTATCATGGCATTTGACCTGTATAGATATAACAATTAAATTTATATGGCAAAGAAACTAACTTGTTTATACTAGCTTAAGTAATATGTTGAACTGATACTGTTTGCTATTTTCAAATTTAAAATTCATTTTAAAATTTAGTATTTTCAAAGTATTTATTTAATAAATGAGCATACTCAGTGTTTAAGAAAATTTTAAAATGACAAAAACCTATATTTTTTTCAATATCGATGAGAAAATATCAAATTTCTTCAGTGAATTCATTAGAGGTGATGGAAAGATTTGAATTTAAGGTATTTAGGAGTATGTATTCCTAGAAAATTTCATACATTGCAGTGCTGTGCCTGGCCATTGTTGTAGTTCTCATGTCATAAGATTATGAAGTAAAGTCACATTAACACCTATGATGTATTCATGGTGCAAATAATTTTATGAGTTCAACTCATATTCCTTTGAAGTTCTTTTATCTTTATGTGACATTATCAGTGCTCCTAATTAGATTTCTTTGAGCAGAAATTCCATCACAAATAAAATCTATTATTTTCTGAAAATTTTTGTGTATATTAATATTTTAGAATTCAAGGACCAGATTTCAAAATTTAGTTAATCTATAAATATCAAATATTTGAGCCATTTAAGCATTTATGACAGTACAGATGATTACTAGAGAGATTAGCAAATTTTTCTAAAGTATATGAGTGTCAAAGTTTTAGTCGAAGTCATTTACATTTCCATTGAATAATAAGGGAAATTTAATATGTAGCATGGAGAATAAAAGAATACTGCTAGAAACTATAAAAGCAAAAGCTGATTTAAATTGTAGACTACGACACTCCTTCTGTACCTATCTATAATTATGTAAAAATTCACTTAAGTCCTTAGAATGTCACTATTAATGAGTTTTTTGTTTATGATTTAGTCATGTATGCACTTAAATCTTTTTTTTGTTGTTGTTGTTTTAAACATCATCAGAGTTTTAATCACAGTCAACCAAAATAACCTCTCTCTCACCTTGTGATAATTGCTCAATTTAAAAAGACAGATAAAAAGATAGATTAAAGAACTACATATAGCTAGACATTGAATATACAGAAGTTATTTCTTCAGAAAAACACAAATGTACACAAATACAAAATATTTAGTTATTTCAAAAATATTTTACTTTACTACTATTTTATTAGTACACATTTACTATGCATAATGATTACATTCATCTTGGGAAATTGGTGCACATACACATTGCATATTGATTATTTTTCCTCCCGTTTGCCCCCATCTCTACCTTCTCATTCCTTCCCAGAGTGCCCTCCCCATCTCCACAAAGTCTACCTCCTTATTTCCTACCATTTCCCTTTTTTTATTTTGGGATGAATTATTCATATTTGAGATATTGATTATTAGAGAAACCATGTGATATTTAACCTCCTGAGTCTGATTAGATTCACTTAGGATTATACTGTCAAGAATCATTTATTTCATACAAATAATATGGAATTTCCTTCACCATTTCTGAGTAGTACTCCACTGTATATTTATATAATGTTTTCTTTATACATTCATCTGTTGATAGGTATATAAACCACTTTCATAATTTAGCTATTGTGAATTGTGGTGCTATAAACATGGGTATGTATGTACCGCTGTAATATAATGACAAATTATTTTGGGGAAATAACCAGAAGAAGTAAGACTGAGTCAAATAGAATTTCTATTTTCATTTCTTTGAGGAATCTCCATACTTATTTCCATAGTCATTGTACTAGTTTACATCCCTACCAATACTGTAGCAGGGTTCCTTTCTCAATCTCTCTAGAATGTGTGGTTTTTGCTCCCTTGGTAGTTGTCATTCTTACTGGGATAAGATGGAATATCAGTCTTCTTTTGATTTGCATTTTCTAATGGTCAACGTTGCTGAAAACTTTTTTCAATGTACCTATTGGGCATTTGCAGTTATGTTTGGAAATGTACATTCATTTCAATCGTCCACTCTTTCACTGGGTCTTTTGTCTTGAAGGGGGTCTGTTTTTTCAGTTGTTTAGTGTACTCTAAATATCAGTCCTCTGAGAAGTAGCTGGCAAAGTATTTTCTCTTTATGTAGGTTGTCTCTTTAATCTGTTTGTTTTTTCCTTTGCTCTGCAGATTTTCAGTTTGAAATAATCCACGGGTTGATTCTAGGTATTATATTTTGTACAATGGAGGTTCAGAAAGTGTTTACCTCTGCCTATATGCTCAAGCATTTTAACATTTTTCCTTCAGGAGGTATAATGTTCCCATATTTCTACCTAGGTCTTTTTTCCATTTTGCTGTTGTTTTCGAATAGTATGGAAGATACAGATCCAGAATCATGCTTCTGCATGTAGATAACCAGTTTTCCCAGAACCCTTTTTTATGAGGTTATTTTTTCTCTTGTGTGTGTTACTGGTCACTTTGTCAACAGGCTGAATGTGCTTGGGGTTAGTCCTGCATCCTCCATTCTTATTTTTCAATATATCTTGTGTGTGTGTGTGTGTGTGTGTGTGTGTGTGTTGCCAGTATCATGCTGGTTTTATTGTTGTAGCTTTGTATTATAACTTGAAGTCTTGGATTACAATGCCTCTTACTTTGCTCCTGTTGCTCAGGATTTCTTTGGCTGTTGTTGGTCTCTTCTACTTTTATATAAATTTTAGGACTGTTCAGCCTAGTTCTGTAAAAACACTGTTGGTGTTTTTATTGGAATTGGATTAAAGCATGAACATTGCACTTTGGAATAGGGCATGAACTATGTCAGAGGGTCTGCTGAGATGAAAGAGCACATGACCCAGACCTACACATGAACTCCACTTGTTGAACTGGCACCTCTTTATTACTTAACATCTCCGACTCTATGTGAAATCATTTGTGGTACAGTTGCCATCTGGAGGATATTCCCATGATGACAGTTATAAAGGCTATGCACAATCTTTGTGCAGAATGTCAAATTGAGAGGGAACACCCACTGACACTGAAGTTCTGATATAGTACAAATCTTAAGGAAGCCAGTGATTTATTGAAGTCATTTGGTAGCAAGTTTACTACATTGCATTTCTTGCATTATACCTGTTTCTCTAGTGAGTAATGACTGATAAATCAAATCAACATTACTAAGTTTACACAATCCATTGATTTAATAGGCCAGAACAAGGCTGACCAAATTTTCAAGATTAAAAATTACCAAGTAATAGCTACCTGCCATCTATTTAGAACAAAAATTCTAAATATATTCATATGTATGTTAATTCTAATAATACAGAAAAGATTAGTGTCACAATGTGGTGCTTGTTTAAGGAATATTCTATCAGTTTAGCAGTTTAACAATTACTCAGTATAATTCAGTGATTAAGAATCACAATAGACACATAGAAAACATTTGCCACAGAAAAGTTCTAAATTCCTTAAAGACCAGAATAATGGCAAAGTAACAATGGAAAGAATTATAATTTGAATGTGAAATGTTCCACTAAAAACTCACATGCTGAAAGCTTTATCCCCAATGAAGCAATGCTCAGAAGTGGTGTTTTGGGGAAGTGATTAGATCATGCGAGCTGTGATCCCATGAGAGTTCTGATCTCATTAATAGATTAACGCAGGGATGGAATCATCATTGAATGGACAAGTGGGAAGAGGTAGAAACTGTAGGAGGTAGGGCCTAGCTGGAGGTGGTAGATCACTTTGGGTGTGCCCCAAAATGGTATACCTTGCCTCTGGCCCCTTCCTGGATCCTTCTCTCTCTGTTTTCTAGGTGCCCCAAAGTGAACCATCTTTATCTGCTATGTCTTTCTTCACAGGCCCAGAAATTACAGGGCCTTGTAATCATAGACTGAAACCTCAGAAACCATGAGGTTTCTGAGATTTGTTTTGACAAATCTCTCCTCATTTAAGTTGATTTTTCTCAAGTATTTCCTCACAGCAGTGGAAAGCAGACAAACACAGAAAGGGACTGATTTAAGCAAACCAAAGTTATCTTAAAAATAAACTAAACAAGAATAAAAAACTATACCCTAATGGTGATGTTGAGCACTCTCCTCTTATTGATGTTAGGTGACAACTCTCTCACACTATGTTCTTTTTGGAATTATTATCTAGTTCAGTAAGACATGGAAATAGATAAAACCAAAGAGCTTGAAAACAAACAAATGAAAAAGCTATCAATTACAAATAATATGATTGTGCAGAAATTCCTTAGGGCTGCATACCCAAGAATACAATACTGAATGGAAAGGATATTAGACTCTAGGCCAGTGATGGTGAATCTTAAAAGATGAGTGACAGAGCTTCAATCCTACACCCACTTATTCATCTGCCAATTCAAACTGCCAATGGTGCAATTAGTTTAGAGAGAAACAATGCAAACCTAAGAACTTCTATCTTAAAAGAAAAACATGTAACTCATGCCATAGTTTCACTACCACTACTCTAGACTAGCCCTTAACATTTGTAAAACTTTCCCCTACTACTCCCACTTCCTCAACTATTTTAGACCTTTTCTTCCTATTACACAATATCAATTATACATTTTGATCCTAATATACACCTTTCATTTTTAATACCAGAGAAACTATTTGGTATTTATACATGTGTATCCTATTTATTTCACTTAAAAGTGTTGCCTCAATGTGCATCCATTTAGCTATAAATATCTCCAGCTTCTCATTCTTCACGGCTGCGTAGTACTGCAT